AGAAGTAAAGCATTCCCTCAAGTGTTTCTATTGCCAAGCCAGGCAACCTGCAGTGAAGTATCCATCTGCAGAGTGACTCCTGATTTTTCATTCTTGGTTGCTTGGTTATCTTTACTCCTGTTGCAAGTCCCAGGCAGAATGGAGTGGGGCTGTGCTCCCTGTCTCAGAACTCTCCAGCCTTGGGGAAAATAAATGTCAGCAATTTGTATTTCCTATAAGTAGTTTATATAGTGTTTCCTGGGATAGCATTTTTGGGAAATCTAGATGCTTTTTGGTGGAATTTTTTGCTTTCTTTTTCTTGTAAACTACAAAAGGATTCCAATGATTTTGTTAAGAGCCTGGGGAGGGGAAGAAAGTTCAAATTAGTGTGTTTTATCTTGTAAACTCTTGAGCATCACTAAGTACTGGAGGCCCTCAGTGATGCAATGCTCCTGTGTTAGTTTAGTTCTGCGGAAAGCAGGTGGCTCATGCTTCACCCTTTGTGTCAAACTAGGTGTGTTTCTTTATGTGGGCCATGTTGCTTCCTGTGCAGAGGCTACAAACAGTGTTGTGCTGGTGGGTTTGGGAATAGAATCATAGAATCATGGAATGGTTTGGGTTGGAAGGGACCTTAAGATTATCTAGTTCAAGCCCCCTGACATGGGCAGGGACACCTTATGCTATACCAGGTTGCTCAAAGCCCCATTTAACCTGGCCTTGAACACTGCCGGGGATAGGGCATTCACAACTTCCTTGGATAGCCTGTTCCAGTCCCTCACCACTCTCACAGTAAAGAACTTCTTTGTTATCCAACCTAAATCTCCGCTGTTTAAGTTTGAACCTGTTACACATGGTGATACCAGCAGTGTTGCTGTGTATTCCTGTGGGTGCATCGCTTGAATCCATGTTAAGCCTGGATGGTGGCTCATGAAGCTTTCCATTGTAGAGGCTCAGTGGCAAGGTCTGGCAGCATGTCCCCATGCTACCCATGTGTTGTCCCCTTGGGATCTGGCTGATCCTGGGTCAATGGTCATGCCAGGAAAGGCTGCATGCTGCTGCAGGTTGCATAGCTGCAGTGCATCCTGATGAGACAGCATGGAGAAAATGTGGATTCAGCAAAAACTATGTAGGACACAGCATTAAAAATTCATAAAATCTTCCTGAAACCCGGTTTCCTGGAGAAGTGTTTTAATGAGCTGCAGCAGGGCTGGGTGAGAGAGTGGGGGGACCCTTCAGCAGTGTTGTGTTAGGTAACAACCCCCATGTACCCACGATCACGCCGTTGCTCATTCCCCATTGGTTCATAGAATCCCAGACTGGTTTGGGTTGGAAAGGACCTTTAAAATCATCCAGTTCCAACCCCCTGCCACAGGGAGATGCACTTTCCACTAGACCAGGTTGCTCCAAGCTGCATCCAACCTGGCCTTGAACACTGCCAGGGATGGGGCAGCCACAGCTTCTCTGGGCAACCTGTGCCAGGGCCTCACCAAGCTCACAGGGAAGAACTTCTTCCTTAGATCTAACCTAAACTTCCTCTGCATTTATGTCTCTCAATTTTCAATGAAAAACTGCACCAGTGGGTACAGTTCACACTTAGGAACTCAGTGAAAACTTAGGTTTGCTGTGAAATAAAAATTGAGAGGTTATTGTCAGTGTTCAGGGGGAAATCTTGGAATTACATGGAAACAAAACTTGAAATGCTTTAGATGTGGGATTTTCTTTAAGAAGAGAAACCACATGACCTCATTTTCCCCTGGGGAAAAAAAAAACACAACAACAACAACAACAACAAAAAAAAATACAAAAAAACCAAACCAAAACCTGTGACTATTTTTCCAATGGCTTTGTCCTTGAAATACTTTTTTCTCTCACCTTAGATTTAGGCAAATTAAAGCAAAATGGGCTGAACTGCAGAACCCCAGAGTCAGTGGCTGGGATGCTGAGGATGGGAGATGAAAGGAACCGATGGGGAGATGCTGAGATATGGGTGCTAGGGGTGCTTCAGAACAAGAGTCTTAACTTGGCACACAACTTTCCTTCTGCCTTTTGTGCTGATACTAATGGGATTGGGCTGCTTTTGCAATTCAGTTTTGAGTGGAGCATACAGAACAGGTACTTTGGAGGTGCTGTGCCTCATCTTTTTGCAGTGCTGTGACCTACTTGTAAAACCAGTGCCCATTTGGCATGGGTCTGGGGGTAGGTTTTCATTGTGCAGGTTGATGCTGTGATAGCTCTTGTTCTAATTTTATTCATCATTTGTTTAATTTTGTATTTTGTCATCTATAGTTTATTCTGTATTCTCTACAATATGGGGCACTGTGGAAAACGGAGCAAAATATCTTTCCTTTCCTGTAAAACCAAAAAGCGTGGTAAGAGTCCTGTTGTTTCGTTATTTTTTTTTAACCTACTTTTGAAATGAACAACTACAAAAAAATAAACAGAAAATATACTGGTGCTGCAGCTTTGTTAAAAACGAGTTGCAAAGTAGGTGATTGAAGATGCACTTGTTTAATTCACTGGAGCAGAAAAATGGAGTTAGGATTTTTTCTTTGCAATCTTGTCAGAGCAGATGCACCTTCCCTGCAGGATGGCTCTGCTTCTGTGCTGCTCAGCTGGCTTGCCAAAGCAAAGAGATGAAAGAGTGGAAAAGATCTGCATTGTTTGCTTTAGAGACATTAAATATCTCTGACAGGGCTGGGGCACCCATCCTTTCCTGAACAAATAGCTTGAGACATTGAGCATAGGGCTTACTTTTTTTATGAGAATATAAATGAGAAATGCAGGAGCTGATTAAGTGGGAGCATAAAATTTAGAGCAACTGTGCTGGATTGGGCAAGGTTTTGCTGCATAGCTCTCCCTTGTGTAACCACAGGGAGCCAGGATGAGCAGTGCTGGAGACCTGCAGGTACATCCCATAGGGTGTGATTGCACTGGCTTTTGTTTATACCAGGTCCTGAAGCAAAGATTACCCCCCAAAAAGAAGGTTTTGGAGGAGATATGGCTGTTGGCAAAGGAGTTTCTCAGAGAGGAATCATCAAATGTGAGCAGTAGTTTGGTTTAGAACCTGAAACTTTTTTCAATGGGAATTTTGAGACCATTGAGTTTCAGGAAATTAAACATCTGTTTTGCAAGAGATCAGACTTGTGGACTTACACCTGAGCTTCACCATTCAGGGGTTAAGACAAGGAAGCAAGTTACTAATTATGCAGGTTCTGATTTACCATTCAAGTACCTGTTGAGTCCTGGCACAAGGAGCTAGATATCCTGTCTGCTACAAATGATTATGCAGTAGGGTAACTTTTTCTGCCTTCTGAGAATGCAAATGAGGGATCTGCTTTTTGAGTTAGTTTAATTTGCTGTCTTCATCTCTGCGCAGCTTGTTAGCTGAATGGAAAACTGTGGATGCTGCCAATGCAATCTGGATATCGTTCCATGGGACTGCAGAAAGCGATGAGTTTGTAGCTCCCTAATCCATGGTAATTTGCTACTAATTTATCAACAGTCAACAGCTCCCGTGGCTACTGCACCAAAACAGCCATGGTGCCGCTGCCTTCCCCTTACCAGTGGTAACAAAAGGTCATTTGCAGCAGATGCAAAGCACTGCTATGAGTGTTTTACTAAGCACATAATAATGCTTATTTCACAAGGGGGGAAACAAAATCACAATGTAACTGATGCAAGAGGCAGAAACCAGGTGAGGTTTTAGACTTGCCCATGGCTGGGTGACTCATTCCTGACAGAGAGACCCTTCCATCCCACAGGGAACTGCTGCAGCCTTTGTACCCTGGGGCCTGGTTCTGGCTTTTATACTAAACCCTTCAGTTAGGTTGAAATGCCGCTTCTGCTATCATAGCTCAGGAAATCAAGCAAGATGTTACAGTTGCATTCGTTGCCATTTTTGTGCTGAGCACTCTGCTTCCCCAGGAAGGTTAGCAGCTGAAATGCCACCTGTAGCTCCTGCCTTGGCTGCTCTTGGAAGCAGCAATCCCAGAGGAGCAGATTGACAATGGCGCTGCAAGCCCCACAGGGAACAGTCCACACCCCAGAGGTTCTCTCCCTGCCTTGCCCTGGCCACACCCGGACCACATATTGAAGAGGAAACACCATGCATTTTCATAAAAGTTTTCCTCTTTTGCTCAAACACTTGCTTCTTCCTCCCCCCCTTTTTTTTTTCTTTTGAAGCTGAGTGCTGGGTGTAATGAGCTGAAAACAGTGCAGACCCTACCCTGGCTCTCTGAAATATTCACCTGCACATCTTCTCATCTTAGAGAGGAAAATGCAAGTGAGGATGGCTGGCTAATGATGAGCAGAGGGGGTTTAGGGCTATTTGGTGCCTGTGTCTGAGCATTCCAACAAGTGTGGATTTAATAGGCTGTTGCAGAGCCAGGGTGTACTGGAGCTAGTAGTGTTAGCCTCTGCTTCAGCTTGATTGAAAACTCCAGATATCTCCTCCCAGGTTCACTTTTTTTGATGTTTCTGCCAAAGTTTGAAAACTTACATGCTGACAGTGTGCCTGGATCTGACAGCTCCTGAATGTTTCAGCTAATGTGTTTGTTCCCAGCTGGGGCACAGGGCAATAACATACAGTGCCTTTCTGAATCTGTTTTCTGAGTTGTCCTCAATCAGACAAAGGGATGTTTTGGCGGAAGAGGTCCGTATGATGCCAATCTCTCCTTGTTGATCTTCCAGTGAAATAACCCCCAAGTCTGGACAATAGTCAGAAAAACTGCTGTTTACGCACTTACCTAGCAGCGTTGCTGCAGGTCTACAGCTCCACGGGCTGGGTTCTGCGATGGTCTGCATTGCTGCAAGCATAGTTTATGTGGTCCTCTCTCTCCCTCATCAGAGGTCTCCCTGTTTTGCTGCTGTTTCGGGAGTGAGAGGGTCCTGTACAGACTGTAATGTGTTTTAGGAACATGTGAGAAGTTACTGCCAGTAAGCAGTGGTGTTCCCCACATGGTTTGACGTAAGATAAAGAACCTGTTGCCTAAAATTTTCTTCTTTCTCACTTTCTTGTTCAGGCATGCATCTGCTGCTGCTTTCCAAGGGGGCTGAAAGCTGGGTGGTCCAGATGTGATCCTTTGAATTGTCCCTACAGAGAAATGCAGGTTTCCCTCTTTGCTGCTGAAGATAGCAGGAGGTCAGGCACTGATGGTCTGCTCTCAGCCACCCTGGAGAGAAGGGACTTTGCAATATGTTACCTGTGTGGGTTCTCAGAGGCTTTTTGTTCAGATAAAGAGAAGGTAATGTGGAGTTCAGGAATGCATGAGCTCCCTTAAACCCCAACTCTTTGTAGAAGACCTGCTGAGTGCTGCCATGGTTCTCTGTCTCTGCCCGTCACCCCCAGCTTTCTGCCTTTCAGGATATCCAATATGATGCATCTGAAGGAAGACCATGGCATGGCAGGAATAAGAGCCTTGCAACAGCCTCAAACCACTTGTAGCTCTTGATGCACATGGAGGGAATTGCAAAACGGTCTCCAAGATAAACCTACTCCTCTGCTTTGATGGTGGCAGGGCTCAGTAGCAGATGTAAATAGCTCTCTGTGATTCCCAGGCCACATCTCTTGTGCATGCAAAGAAGTACTTAACCCTGCAGGAAATTATGTATAACATACTGTGGTTTGCTGATGCATAGAAATTAAATATTTGTTGCATAAGAAAATAGGAACTATGCTTTTCAGTATTTTAATATGAGTATCCAAATACTAGGTTTTCTCCTACTGTTTATTATAGTGTATTTTTCATGATTTGTAGTACTTCCTGTGCAGAATAGTTGTTTTCAGGGCACTGTAGGAGGCAGGTTCCGTTCTCTTTTAACGAGGTCTCATTGGGAGAATTTTGCCTTAAATGGGAGGAGGAAGTTTTGAAGTCAGGATTTACAGTTTTGAGATTACTGGAGCACAGACTGATCTTGTATTAAAGACAAGCTGTGCTGTCTTTGTGTTATATTTCCCCTTTAGATCAGATTGTGAGAGAGGCTGACAGTAGCTCATGTGCTTTGACCAGGGGTTTGGTAGTAGGGAACTTGCTGGTGTTTTTGAAATGAAAGTGTTTGAGGGAGGTGACTGAAGAAGAGCTCTGCAACAAGGGTGCTGATCAGTAATCAGAATTTTAGGGTATCAAGTGGTAGGGGCCAAACGGTGTTGCAGCCACTGAATCTCCTATAAACCAGAAATTCTAGTTTTGTACAACTCTAACTACAACTACATTGTACAAATGTCACTCTCAAGGGTTCAAAAAGAAAAAGGAGGTGGGAAATGTGGGAAAAGAAATGCTGAAGGTACTTTAATGCATAAGGAAGACAACATTAAGGACGACGGGGCTGAATGATGATGGAGAGAGCAAGGTAGATCTTTGAATACATGGAGAATGAAAGCCTTTGCAGGGGGAATCGGGCTATTTGTTTCAGGAGGCTGCAAGCTCTGCATGGAACCTACTGATTTGCTGTGGTGGCATGTGTTTGTGTAACCCACAGGGAAAACAGTTTAAATGGGCAAATAAACCAAAGGTGCTAAAAAGCTGTGGTTATTCAAAGTCAGTCAGCCATTTAATAGCACTCAGTATAACGAGACAGGCCGATGCCAACTAAGATGAAAAATAACTGAGAGGCAGTGGTAGTTTGAAGTCTGGAAGTAAGTTGGGTTTGGTGCAACAGCTTGGCAATGGAGATCTCCTCCTGACTGGGGAGAGTGAAGGGGGAAGGAGGTATGCCCCCAATAGTTTTATATTTATTATTATATGCAATATATTTATGATATTTAGCCCAGAGGAGCCCTGAGGTGTGCTACCACACTGACCAGTACATACCCTTAGTGTGCATCTCTCTGGGCTGCCTCCTCTCTGGCTCCTCTCAGCTGCCCAGGCATTCACCTATGGCCTCTTAACATGAACTGCTTACCTGGAGGTCACTTACTGCAAGCTACATTTTCTTTCCCAGGTATTTTGTTACTAGTGTTCCCATAGCTAAACCAACATGTCCACATACAAATTATCTCGGGGGCCTGATCACCTGTGGTCATCATAACTTATTTTAAGAGCAGCAGTTCGTGGAAGGGCTGATTCAGTGTCTTCCTTGTGCTGCTACAGATGTGACGCAAATGAGTTGAAATCAGCTCTTGACTTTCATTTTCTTTTTCAACTGCAAAAAAAGAAATCTAATTAACGAGAGGAAAACTGAAACAAGTTACCTCCTGGTTTCTGCAGGAAAATGATGGGTCAAGAAAGCTTTGTGGACTGCTATGATCTCTGTCTGAATTCTCTTCTAAATGTTTGGGTAATTTTTGTTACAGTTTGTATTAAGCAACAGTTGCATTGAACCTGGCCAGGCTATTTGTACCATCGGAAAGTCCGATTCCACCATTTAAAGAATTGGAAATTTCTTTGGAAGAAATTCCAAAATAGCTGTGATAAAACATCCGAAGTCAATACATTGGATGAGTGCAGAAAAAACTCTAAACCCCACATTTAAATTGCACATTACAGCAGGGTGGGGATTATCTGGGAAACAAAGAAAAGGTACAGTCTACACAAAAGCCAGTGGAAGAAAATATGCTCTATCTCTCCTGCATGTTTCCCTGCCTACCAGCCTACATTTGATACCTAGCTAGAGCTGCTATTAAAAGTAATTTCAAAATTACTTCTAATTTTAGAATGACAAAAGGCTTGATTTGATGATAAAAGCTGAGCAGCTTGGGAAATATTCTGGCATGTTAATGGACACTGCTGATGTACAGGCTATTTATGGTGGGAATGAGATGCAGGTTTCTGACTACAGTAGAAATCCCCACTTCTACCCAGGTCAAGTCCTACAGAGAAGATTGCCAGCCTTTCTCTCTACATGCAATGTTGCTCATCACCCTAGACAAGAACCAAGCTTTTAAGTCATTCCTCAACATCTTATGCTGACTGCTATAGTCATTTTGAAATGAAAGTAACTTTATCCCTATTTTTAGTAGAAATGAAAAAGTTCAATTTGCCACAGAAAGGAGACTCAGTCCTGCTATATACTGCGCCTGAAGGATTTTCAGTATGCATCAGTTCCAGTTGTACCACAAAGCTGCATCATCTGCTGCAGATCAGAAAGGAAAATTGGTTATATATTGTGTTTGATGAACTCTGAGCTTTGATATAGAGAGAAGTGCCTTCAAATTACTGGAGAAGAGCTGGTCTTTATGACTGACTAGGGAAGGGTGTTGCCTGTCTTCTTAAGAGATGTTCTTTAATTTGCTGTGTGCAATTTGTGTCTCTACAAGGCCTTGTCTGAGCATAGGCAGGAAAGATGTCTCAGAAAGATAAAAATCCCAAAGATTTGTATAACAGATGCCAAAAGAAAACGGTGATGCTGAAAGTAGAGCTGCATGTGGCATTGTCCACTGGGCTGGGCATGCATAGCCTGCCCCAGAGAAAGGAGTTCTGTGGGTTAGGCTGGTGGGACCTGTGGTAGGGTCACTGTCAGAAGACAGGAGACACCACCTTGAAACTGTATTAGTGGCAAGAAGATGAAGGAGGGGATCATGCCCCATGCAAAGAAAAGCATTTATCAAGTGTTTTCCACTGAGTTGAGTAAGCAGAACCCCAGCTTCTGAAGTTCAGCCCAAGGCTTTGTTTGATTGGGAACCTGTGGCTTCTGTGCCAGCGTTTGTATTCCTGTGACACCATCAACCAGTCTGGTCCCATCAGCAATCCCAGCTGGCATTAGGAAATGCACAGGAGTGTTTCAGAGATTATCAACTGATACATATATATATATATATAATGAAACATCAGTCTGACACTCAGGTTGTCTATGCAGATTCCTTGGTGTGGTACCAACCCTTGTGAAAACATCTGGGCTGGGCATTAGTTAACTTGAAAGGTAATTTTGGAGACATTCAGTAAAATCCTTTTGCTAGGAAATTGCAGTCATTGTGGTAATTTCCTTTTAATGATGTGGGTTACATCTCATTAGCAAAAACGTTGTTGGGGGCTGTTTCAGCAGCAATGGTACTGTGTCCTTGCAAGGAGCCACTGAAACATGGGATGTGCTTCTCATGCAGAGCTCCTGTGGCTTTATATCTTCAGCCAAGGCTGGAGGTGAATCACCAGCGCTGGTTTCAACTCAGTTCAGTCGCCCCTGAAATAATGCTGTGATACTGCAATCAAACGGGGTGGATAATTTTCAGCTGGCTGCTGTGTGCCTCAGCAAGTTGCATAGGAGCTGCAGAAGACTTTGGGTGCTGCTGTGAATGCACCCTTCTTTTGGCCAGTGGAAAGGTTCTTCATAAATCAGATCTGTGGACCTGGAGGTAATTTTTCCTAACAGCCCAGGCTGAAAACTCAAGCCTGTATCCAGCTTCATTTAAATGAATAAAGCTGCTCCTGCTGACTTTTAATGGGGCTGGAGGAAGGGTCCAGGGTAGAAGCCAGTCCATGTTCTTATTGGATTGTGTATTTGCACACACACACACACAAGAAAGAAATAAAAAATACAGCTTTCATGTTTATTCACAGGCCACAGTAAAAATCCGATTTACTTACCCATAGCTGTGGTGGTGCTTGCACATGAAGTGGGGCCTAAAACGCTTTAGAATTTAAAGAGTAATAAAAATAAGTAATGAAATACATTCATAATATAGCTAGAAAATATATGCACAATCTCAACCTGATGTAATTGATAATGGATTTAGCAAACTCAGACTCAGAACAGTGGCTTTATTTTGTAGCTGCTATGAGCTGTTTGTATTGCTGAATGAATTGCTAAAAACTCAGCCATCAGATTCCATATATTTTGGATTATTTATTATCTTATTTTGATTTTTTCCCCTGCCTTCATTAGTAGGTGAGAATAGCCTGATTGTGTGAGTTAGAAGGCTTAAGGACTGCCCCTAGACTCCTCAGATTTTCATGATGGCAAGTGGAGGAATAATAAAATCCCAGTTGGTGCTTTCTGATGTTCTCTGTTACATCCTTCTCTCCTCAGTTAATTTTAACTTTGATAATTCTGTCTGGTAATAATTTGCTTTGGTGTTTGCATGTGATTGAATTATTTTGAAAAGCAAGAGTAAAATGAAAATTAATGTCTCAGGAAAAAGTGGTGGCAGAATAGCTGTGGCCTGATTACCTCCTTTCTGAGTTGATCATAACCAATTTAGGTGATTTCTAGTTGGTGGCATTTGTCCTCACTGCTAGCTTACATGTTGACTTCAAGTACCGTGTTTGAAGGGAAGGGGGTAAGAGTAGGTGTAAGTAGATTACCTGCCTTTAATATGGTCATCCAGGTGAAAAAGGTCACAAAGATTTCTCTAGGTCTTAAAACTGATGGAAGCTTCATTTTGTTTAGTGAAATTTTGTGTGGAATCTCAATTTTTCTATTATCCTTCATATCAAAAGCAGCTACCTAAGGCTGAAGTGTCCCCAGATAAACTCCAACAGGGCAGGGCATGGGCGAGGTTGAACCCTGCAGCTGAGGCTGCCACTCTGATACGCCTGCCAGCTCATTTGGAGAACTTGTATATCTTGAGCCCAGGAGCCTTCAGGAAAAAGCAAGTTTCTGGAAGTATAAGCCATTCTTTGGCAAGTGCAGACACTTCTGCTTTAAGAAAAATCTGCTTTCCTGTTAACTATCCTGATAAGGCTGCTCCTGGAGTACAGCATCTCCATCAACTCTTATCACATCACCCACCAGCAGGATGGTGATGTGCCCAGGATTTTCTACCACTTTAATTTTCACTGCCAAGTCCCAGCCTGATCTGCTTCCTCTTATCACCTGAGTTTCCTGCAGGCTTCCTTGCCTGCTGGGCTCCAGCAGCCCGCGGCTTTCAGACTGTTTCACAATTACAGACATGCAACTCAAGGATTATCTCCTTACTGTGGAAGGCTTTTGCTTTGTGTTTTTGCAGACCAGTATTCCAGCTTGTATTAAATAACGATCAGCTCTAAGCTGACTGGTACCCTATGCTGGTGTTTGTTGGCGCCTGAAAGTCTCAGGGCATTGTTTATGAGTAAAATTTCCACTTTTATTCAAATTCCTGCTAGGGGCCAACTACCTCTTGGGGTCCAAACCACAGAAATGAAATAAAATTCACTGTCACCTGCTCCTTCCTCCAGATCCTTCACTCATTCTGTGTTACTTTGGGCGGCTAAATTGCCAACAAAAATTTGGCACATGTTTGTTTTCAGTGATCCAGCCTGTTGTGGTAGTTAGTACCTGCTTTCCCTGTTATCACCTCCAAGGCAGGAGTCAGAGCAGCATTTTGGCACAGGTTTTAAACACCAACATGTTTAAAAAATTTAGCCTGGCATGCATTAATAAAAAAATAAAAAAGAAAAAAAAAGAAAAAACAGGAAAAAATAATACCAAGATATAAACTAGGTAAAGGAAAAAGTTGCATGTTTTGGGTTGGTTTGTTATTTTTTCCCTAAGTTTAGAAACACCTTTGTGCCTTTCAGAGGTGAACAAATGGTAAATTCAGATTACTCTCCTGAAAAAAGAAACAATTTCATTTTATGGTTTCTGTTTCCCACTAAGTTGATTTATGTGACTTTCCTGGGAATTTCATTCTGCCTGCGGTCTGTGTGGAAGGACAATTCTGAGAAGAAAAAGCACTGATTTAAGGTTTAGAGGAAAAGCATCGTGTATGTAAAGAACTGTTTAGCCCTCATGGGATAGAAGTACCGTTATCCTTTTGATCTTGATGCTTGCAGTCATATATTCATTGCCAGTCAGGATCAGAAGCCAAACCTTGATCTTGGCTAGGATACTGCATAAATAGGAGCACTGTGGGAGCAGCTTCTCATCCAGTTTTGCAAGATGCAGAGGTAGAGGTGGATGGGGCTCAGTCTTCTTATCTCCTTCAGTGAGAGTGTCTCCACTGGGTTAACCTTCAAGTGACACTGGTGGGATGCTTCAAGCAATAGGTACTTGTTAAAGGGCAGATGTTTTTAGTTTAATTAGAAACAGAGAGCAAATCTGGGACCTGTCCTCTTAGCTGTGCATTAGTATTCTGCACCCTGCCTGTTGCAAAGAGGTCACATTTTGAGGAAGGAACACAGAAAAACAATATAGGCAGCTGTGCACTCTCTGTAGCCATTGCGCTGCTCTGAAAATAATACCCCTTTCACCCAGTGTTGTTGTAGATGCTGTTCTCCTGCTGTGTTCCTTTCATAATTGTCATTTAAATAGCTTAAATAGCTGTCTTAAACTAAATTTATCACTGGTCTAAATTTGTCTGTGTCAGGCAAGAGAAGCTGGGTTAGCATTTGGCAATTCAGGTATGTTTTAGAAGCAGCAGACTTATTTAGTTTGAGAAAGAAATATTGGTAATATGTGGTAAATTGGCTAATTTTGTCCTCTAGTGTAATTTCCTGAAAGAGAACCAACAGGGTTTAGAATTGATTTGACTAAATAATAAATGATACATTCTCCTACTGCGAGGTAGGCAGCATTTAGTCTATGAATCTTCTGTGGATATGAATGGAAAGACTCTAAATAATACGTGTGCTGGTTATTCTCCCAGGCACTGCTGTACACCAGAGTACAATGTCAGCAGCTTGCACCAGAAAAACATAGAGGTAAATTTAGAGTTTCTTTTGTCTCCCTCTCATTGCTTTACTGATGAACTTCAAAGGAGCTTTCTCCAGACTTTTGTTACTTCCAGCTGTGGTTTTAAAGATATGGTGTACCTGTCCACAGCGCTCAGAGAAAGGTTCCAGATTTAAGTTAAGTGCAAGCCTTTGTTACCTTGTCATCAAAAGTTGCAAAGAAGTCCTTCTTATATCTCCTTGTATATGGATTTCAGATTTTTCCTTCTTTCTTGGTCATTTGAGTAGGCTGTGGTAACCCCAGTGTTAAATTAAACACTGGGGCTAGTATGTAAAATAACATGCAAAGTCTATGTTCAGATTTTTAAATCCAGATGTTATTTTTCAATCTCTGAGTTGAGACTAGACACTTTTGCTCAACCACTGATGTTTGCAGGGCCTCTTTGTACAGCTGCAGATGAGGCTGCTAAAGTGCCTGTGCAATAGCCAGAGCTGGCATTAAAATAGATGTTTAAGGTTGAGTTTGGAGCTTGCTGCTGAAATTACCTCTCTAGGTGCTTGTTGTACCTTTGTCTTGTAAGTGCTTTGCCTGCTGCTAGGTTAGCCAAAAGGCACCCAGCAAGCTGTAGGCCATATGGCCAGGCAGATGGATTTTGTGCATCATCAGGTCCCTTTAGAAGTAAAGGCACAACATTAAGGTGAAGTAGGGCTTGTATGTTTGAGCAGTTGATAGCTTAAGCAAGATGTGTTTTGTTATGCTCAGTAGGTGCTATTTTACATTTCTGTCCAGAGCAGGAAGACGTACTGTGGTGGAAAAGATGCAGCTGAATGGAGGTGGCAAAAGATACTGCTGGATTTGATGTTAATTCAATTCCCGGGTCTTTTCCTATCTATTACATGTCTCTTACATAATTTGAACATTGGGTAGACAAAACGCTCCACAATTTCTTAAATGTAAGTCTCTGTTAGGATGAAACTTGCAGGCTTTTCCCCTTTTGGCTTGGTCATGCCTTGGTTAATAGCCCAATTAATTGCTAACTGCCAGTGCATCCATGCCCAAGAGCAATGCATCTTCCTTGGATCTGGTGCTGCCAGAGCTGTTTGGTCCGACCCTGTGGCCCATAAGCTCTGCACTGGTTGAGGGCCAGTCCTGCAGAAGCACTTGGAAATAATTTTGGTCTAAATCTTTATATCTGAGCATAACTCCTGATTTTCAGTCTTGCCCCTCACTTTGCGTGTTCCCTAACAGTGGCTGTTGCTGTTTGCAGATGATGGGAAGCTGTCCATGGAAGAGTTCCAAGCCTTTTTTTCTGATGGGACACTCAATGAAGAAGAACTTGAGAAGCTCTTTCATACCATTGACTCAGACAACACCAAGTAAGTTCCCCCTGCTGACACCGTCGCATTTCACAGAGCCTTTGGATCACAGCAAGTAGCTGTGGCTGTGCTGTAGCAGTGCTGTTCTGGAGAACTAGGCAAAGTGAAACTTGCTTTGCAGAACTTTGCAAGATGTCCATTTCTGCTTAGTTTGTGTCTCATTGTGATGGCCACTATGACTTCCCTCACTTGGTGGCTTTTTTTCAAGTCATTTTCTTTAGTGCAACCTGATCTGAAATGGTGCTTAGTTTTACCTATGAGGACATTGAAATGGCTTTTCAGCTTTTCCACTTTATCTAAAAGCTTTGCTGTGCTATGAAAGGCAACTGAGTGAATCTCCATAAGCATAGTCCTATCCAGCTCTTTTACACATGAAAAACTGGAACGATTTGTGGTCTTGTTTCTTTGTGATGTCTCTATCCCCTGTGCTTGGGCCATGCCTGCTTCACCTCCCATACAGAATACCCCCTGGAAAGCAGTGATTGCTCTAGCACCAAATAGAAGCAGACACTTTCTCTTCAAGGTGAAGTTCAGCGGCACAGAGGTCAGCACAAGCCCTGCAGCCAGTGCTGTAGACGCTTTGCCTCTGCTCTGGTCCCAGCAGCCTGATGTGGCTGTAGTTCTGTCTGCACAAAGCCTGGGCAAGGCAGCAAGGGGATAGATCCATGATCAGCACTGCACTGACTGCATCACAGATTCAATAGCAGCAGGGAAAAGCGATGGCAGGGGAAGGCTTTAGGTGTGCTTAATTTGATGTTACATCAAATTTGAAGCTAAATATGGCACCTGACTGCTCTCACTGAGAAGCAAGCTTTCACAGGCTGTGCCAAGCTATAAAATTAAGGTGACAGGCTCATTAACAGCCGATGTTTCCTTCCGCTCCGCATGCCTTTGCCATCTCTGCCTCAGTGCCCCCTCTGACTGCCTTTGCTGGGGTCTGAGGCATTTGTGAGCCTTCTGACAACTGTCTGGCACTGATGGTGTTTGGAATTAGCACAAAGCCCCGGTGGAAGCCCCCTTGCTAGCAGGTAGTGATGGCGTGGGCACCAGTGCAAAGACCACAGCTCACTAGTGTGTTTTCTCTTTCCAAGATGACTCCATTTTCAAAAGCTTGAGTAGCTTAGACTGTTAGGAAGTACAGACAAAAGCCAGTGTTGAGTCTTATTCCAGTGTGACTCTTAAAGCTCTGGAGAGATAAAATCTGTCTAAAAGCAGATGAAAAGAGAATGTAATTTCAAATTAGAAGTCTTGCAGCAAGTGCTTTAAAAAAATAGTCTGGTTAATTATGAAGCCTTGTGGCAGCAGGTACAGAGTCTTGCCAGTGTGAGTGGTGCATGCTTTGCACTTATCCAAAAGATCCCCTGATCTGTGTATGCTTCCCAAAGTTAACCCCGAGATCAGAAATGTTAAAGACCAGCTTGGTATATGTTATTCACTGCATCAAGGGAATTGTCATGATCTTGTTACTAAAATTAGCTGGGAATTATCCACCCCTTCAGATGGTTCCTCTTCAATAGACATTAGATACTGTCTTACATCTTTTAGGTCTATTTATTGTGACGTTCCTGGGTGGGCTCTCTATAGACTCTGGGTCTTGGGTGCTCATGTGCCTCTATTCTGAAATAATCTTTAGCATTGACTGAGCTCATCAGTTTTCATCTTGCCTTTGAAAAGATGCAGACAGTCAACTTGTAAACCAGGGTGGACAGGAATTAGTGAGTGTGGGTGTTTATTCTGGTCTTCTTGAAGTGGGAAATTGGATTTCAGGTATTGTAGAGAATCTGCAGCTTTCTCCAAGCCTTAGTAAGGGATGTCTTTAAAATTGGACAGAGAGAAAAGGTGCCATTTCTAAATGTTATACAACAGTGCTGCTGGCAAGGGAGGGTTTCTGGGCAGCTCCTGAGCATGGCAAGTGTTCCTACAACTCAACAGTGTTTTTCTTTTGCCAGGCTGGCTTGATCCAATCATCAATACCCATGAGGGACTGATAGTTGAACAGAGCAGTTTAGCATCTGCTGTTCTTGGCTGAAAGGAAAAGTAATGACTTGGTCACCCTTCCAAGTTAAATCCTTGCATGAAATTGTCACTTGCTTGTTGATTTGGAAAACATTGACACCTACCAGAAATTTGTGAAGTTGAAGGAAGAAACTATTCCTCATTTTTTATCTGCAAGAACTCTTTCAGTCTCCAGAAAACCTATTTCAGAGCCAGGCTTCCTTCTGCAGGAGTGCTTTTCACTATGAAACAAACAGTTTGCTTGACTTCAGTCATGCAGCTCGTACAGTCCTTCAAGTTGTGTGTACTCTTCACCTTGCCCCGTCTTTTGCTCTCTGCACAGTAAATCAGCAGGTCAGTGGGATTTGGAGCAGGAAGGATGCTGCCTTCAGCCTCCACTGTGCCCAAGCACTAGCACTGCAATTTTTAGTATTGCTGCCACTGAGTAAGAGGAATGGAGCTTTCATTTTACAGGGGAACAGAAGAAGAATATTATCTTCCAAAAAGGCTGTTTGAATGCCACTTACTTGCTATTTGATAGAAATTTATTTCTTTTTAAGGCTGTTTTTTGATACTGTTTTATCTCTGTGTTTTTCTCATACTGTCGATCATGTTTGTTTGGTGTGCAAAGCAAAGTTTGGTATTGAAATTACATTACAGCTAGAGTAGAACATGAAGGAAATTATGTTCCTGCTGATTATTAGTAATTGCTGTTACCAGCCAAATTACGAAATGTTGATTCAATTTCCTGGAGTATTTTTAGGAACACGGAACTGCCTTACTGGAGGAGAAAAAATGAATGTCTGTACTGATTTGTTGACTTGCTTTAGTTGGGATGATACTGGAAAGGAGAAAAGTTGGGCAGAGGAGTAGGAACATGAGTTTAATTTTGGATGCAGGAGTAGCTGAACTAGAGGAGTGTGTGCTTCTGCCTTGGACATCCCAGTCTCCCAGTGAAACAGCTTGTTGCTAGTAAGGTGAAGTTCGGAAGATGCTGAAATGACCTGAACTGAGATACCCCTAAAGAGCCCAGGGGATTAGTGAGGATCCCTCTTTTTTGTGACTGCCGTGGAAATGTCTCAAGGATGTTAATGTGGCATGTTGGACACAGGCTCCAAACACCCACCCTAGGGTTTATTACCCAGTATAAGAGAACCTGCCATCCATGGTAGGGTACAAAGACTGTGCTTGCAGTGTACAAGTCCCACCATCACTAGTTATTTCATCTGGAAGCGGGAATGTGCATAATGTGTCACTTATTTCACTTGGGTTTTTTTGGCAAAGTTATCCTCATAACCTGCTGTTGCTTATAAAAGGATGATCAAGTGGGATTTTTCTTTCTGTTGCTCACACTGGCTGCCCTCCTTCCCTTCTCCCAGCTGAAGCAGGAGGCAAAAGCAAGACTTTGCTAAGTGGTTTTTTTAAGCTGCTATTTCAGGAGGTTTCAGCAGTGCTTTATGGGGAGCTGCCTGAAGATTACTGGGGAGGTAATGATATGTCACTAATAATATCAATGCTACTGGAATGCATAAATTAAGTGTATGATATGTAAATACACATATTTAAATATGTATGTTTGGTTTGGTGGCAGAACAGGGCTTTAGAAAACATTAGATTGGTGGTCACCCTGGAAATCCTCTTATATTTGCAAGCTGTTCCTAACAATATATATCAAAAGTCATTGCAAATGGAAAGTAAAAAAAGTTGTAGGATCACAAATGACCAGATGGAGCCCTTTAAAAATATTACTGTGATACTGGAAGAGACTTGCTTTGTCTGACCCACAGTTACCATCTTCTTCCAGCTCCCTGAGCCAGCACTTAGATCCACTCTGCATCCCACTGGAAGGAAGGAGCACCTCTCAGCCCTAGTGAAAGTAGGGGGAGGTCAGATGGGGCTGTTGAACAAACAAATTTAGTTCTGGCACAGGATTTTAAGAATTCCCTTACTAACCTTTGTATTTTTCATACCTGCAGAGGACAATCCTCCTCACTGGAGCAGGACTTCTCGAATGAGCTGTACAGTTCCATTCACAAGTTGCCAAGAACACGGCATTAGCATTCCGCTGCTCTGCTGTTTGGTAACTCTTCTTTAGACTTACAGCTATTCTTTTAATGGCTTTGTTTCCCCCATCTCTCTAAATGAGCTCTTCTCTCCAGTGACAAACACTAGGAAAGGTTGGATTGTGCATGTAGAATAATTAACAGAAGCATTATTGCCTCTCAGAAGCCTGTCACAGCTTCACCAGGCTGTCACATTTGCTGGAAGATTGTGACAAATGGAGAGCTGAAGGCAGTGGGGTTCTCTAGCCTATACAGCTCCAGCAGCATGCCACCTCCTGCCCTTCATGGCAGTTACCTGTCAAGGGGTGGTAGTCCAGAGGGGCAATGATGGGGGATAGATGGGAAAATTGATCACAATACCATTGCATGCTGAACAACATCCTTCTTGGAAACATGGAACCACTCGCCTCCCAAACCCATTGCTGCTCAGATAGCACAGGGAGCTGTATTATAAAGCAGAGTAATTTGGGGTTGCTTTGGGGCACAGGGATGTAGTGGGGCACAGTCAGGGCAGCTACCAGCTGGAGTTTGTGTGTTCAACCCCAGAGCGAGGGGAGGCATGGCTGCCCAGGACCACGCTGGATTCAGGTGGTGATGCTGATGAGCTGCTCTGCCTGCACAAATTAGTCCTGCTGTGGAGTGGAGCATGTTAGCCTGGAGAGCACTGTTCTTTCCAGGAGGGGTGGATTTAGCTCCAAGCATTTTCAAGAGCCCTGCAGTGCCTACGTGGACAGGGTGGGAACTTTGGGCTGCTTTGTCAGGGAGATAGGGTGCACCTGGCCCTGCATGAATGTTTAAATGGCTTCAATTCCAGACATAGCTGTTGTGGGGCAACCTGCTGCCTGGCAAAGTGAAGCTGGCTGAGATGGCTCCAGCCATGGACTGATGCGGTGGGACAGCTGCTCCTCAGGGCCCAGCTGCCAGCCCTGCTTCCTTAAGGAT